GTATGGGTGCGCGAGCGCGTGCACAACACACGTAACCGCGGTACGCTTTGGTGTCTTTAAAGTGGCCATCTTGACTTCACTTTCAAACGCTTCGTGTGTCTTGCTATCGGACTGCAGACAACGAACTAGAGAGAAAAGAAGACGGAAGGATACGGGGGAAAGCAGAAGAAAGACGGAACACGGTGTACGCATTGTGGCACCGTGTGGCAATACGAGGAAGCCGATTACTCAACGATCCAGGATCCCTCCTCGTTCAACGCTGGTTACACGTGATTCCGACTAAACTCCACGTCTTGCGTATCGATTCGTACTCGTCGAATCTCTCTTGCCTTGTTTCTTTTTTCTTTTTTTTCTCTTGTTTCCACGTTGCTTGATCGAACACGAGATCGAAGTGAGTTTTCTGCCACGATACAAACAACAAGTTACCCGCGAGAAAATCTACGTTTAGCGGAGAAAATTCTAGAATCTTGGCCCGAGGGGTTAATGAAAAAGTAATTGGATGAAAAATTGCGTTTCGTATCGCCGTGCGATTTTGAAATGACTTTTTCACCTCGTAGAAGAATTCCATTTACGGCAATAAAAATGTATTTAGCGCGATTAACCCGTGTGCGACGTAAAGGCTAGCCCGGTGAAGCATTTTAAACATCATCGGTTCAAACGCCCGAAATATTCGTTTGAAAATGTGAACTGTATTAATCTGTACTGAACTCACCGTCAATCTTCGTTATCCCTGTCATTTTCCCAAACCATCGCCGTACATAGACGTCGAAATTCGTGATAAAACGCGACCAAGATGCGAAGAAATAAATTCGAGTGGAAGGGAGTGGCGGCCGGTCGAAGGGAGTAAAGGAGGAAGATGCATCGATGGCAAAACGGTGGGATATCGATTCGCTGCACCTGTTTTTCTTCGACGAACAGCCATAGAACGAGGGGAGAGAAAGGGGGACGAGAGAAAGGGAAAGGGAGAGGGGGGGAGAGAGAGAGAGAGAGAGAGAGAGTCGACGCCGGGTCTCGAATCTATTTCCGTGGGGCCCTAACCCGAGTGTCGAGAGACGGAAACAGACGGAAACAGACGGACGGGGGAAGAGAGACAGCGCAACAGAGAGACAGGGGAAGAGGAGAATTTATGTGTTTGGAGAGGGTCAAGGGAACGAGGGTAGCGACAAGTGCAGCAGAATCGTACAGCTGGATGCAACAGGGGGTAAAGAAACGCGTTCCCCTGTCACGCCTGCGTTATCCAAACTAATTTCTCAGCGTCACTTGAAAATCGATCTTTTTTAACCGCGTTCCAACGAGTTGCTAGGAAATTTGAGTTGTCGCGCGACTCGTTCCGCGAATATTCCTGTAATTTCCGTTCGATGAATCTCGAGCTCTTGAGAAAAAATGCGAATGTTTGGAGAAAGGAAGGTGAGAATTCACCGATATTGTCGATTTTCACGCGTTCACCGGTCGACGTATCCATCGCGAGCGTGACGACGCCAACGATTCTACGTGAAAATCCACTTTTTCGTCGGTTACGCAGGATGCACACGGCGAAAGTGATGCGTGTCGAAGAGACGAGACAGTGGAGTCCGACAGAGCGAGCAAAAGTGCACGCGAGAGTATACGCGAGAAGTTCTTTTCTCTCGTGCTCGTGACTCGAGAAGTTCACTCGGTAGACGTAGAGATTCACGGACGTGAAGTCGGAATTCGTTTCGATCTAGCTAGACACACGGCTTGAGAATCGAGTTTCTCGCATTATGCGAGAGGGTAGCAATCGATAAGGAGGCTCGAGTATTTTTGCTAAAAAAATCGATCGACCGGCGTAACTGGATCGATGCTCGCTCTTCTGCGTCGGTAAGCAAAGCGGAAACGAACTACCGGCCGCAAAATTCTTACCGACAGTAATTGGAACGTAAATACGTGGACGACGCGAACGACATATTTTCGTCAATATTTTACTGGAACAGCGTTCTAATCTGTATTTATAATAGTTTTGCTAGAAAGTACACGGTTTCTCACTTTCCAACCGCTTTCTAAAAATGTGAAAAGAACAACGGCGAGCACCCATTCCGATTCGTGTTCTAACGGCACGTAATTGGCCGTCGCGGCCTGCGGTTGAAACGGAGTCGCGAAGTCTACCGCGGATCGTTGAAACGTAAGACGCGCAGTGAAAATTTCCGTTCCACTGTATCGTCGCAACGAAAAAGAGAGAAGGAGAAAGATGGAAACAAAAACGAGCAACACGAATCGAGTAAACGTTCGAAACTCTTCGCGATCTTGAATTTTCGAGAACTAGAAACGTTGATCCGATTAACTTCTATTACCGTTTAACCAGAGCCACTTTCTTCCTTTCCTTTAGACGCTTGCAATTTTTCTTTGTTATCGTTAAACACTGGCAGACAGAAAGACTCACCCGCCCCTTTGATCGTTTTAAACGCTCGGGTTAAAGGCTAAGCGTCTCACGCGGCCTACAAAAGGTCGTTACCACTTTAGCAGTGTCGCGCATAAGATACGTTTGTAAGACGGTTGCATGCACGTACGTACGATACACGCGTTAAGCATCGAAGCAGAGCCGAGGACGCGCGAGCGTCCCGTTGTCGCTTCGGCAGGTATGTTCCGAGTTATAGAACACGACACCTAACGCTCCAAGTGGCATAATATTTGCGCCGCGCAAGCCTTAAGGTCGTGTAAATACGTTCTTCCTCGACGGTCGTTGCACGTTTCTACGTCTCGAGGCTGACTCGAAGCAATCGCGAAATCGCGTACGCACGTAGTGTGTTGTTACGACATGGCTGTAAATTGTAAGAATTGGGCCACTGCGAACACCAGCGCAGAGCTTTGTGTACGTGCATGTCATACGCGAACGTTGGCTGCTTTTTTTCGCGTCGACGCAAGAACGCAGGCGCAATTATCGCTAACGCGGATGTCTGGTCGCGATTCGCGGGGCCTTGGCCGGTTTCCCTTTCGGAGTAGCGAATCGGCATTGTTTAAATACCAAGTGTAGTTCGACCACGAGTCCTACTCCCGATGTGCACGTCGTTCGTTCGTATCGATGTAAGATACAGGCTCTCCCATGGAACGACCACGCGAGCAATTTCTATTGTACCGACAGGAAAGACATTTACGATGGTAAATCGAGCCGCCTGAAGCACCGGTAACCGAACAAAAGTATCGATAATGTAGGACACCGGAGATATAACTACGGTCGGTAACGTAGATTGGAAACAATGGTAATGTAACATACGACGGCCGATATAATAGATGGAACAACGATCGAAATTGCAAGATCGTCGAAATACCAACGAAACGAACCGCGGTCGATCGTTGATTAAAATCGCGAAATCGCGAAAGTACGTGGAAGAAACTTACCTTTACTCGTTTCGGGTTGAATATTCTCCGTCTTGATCTCTGCCCTCGTTGCATACGGGATGGAAGTTGGAGATGCTTGCGACGAAGGAGCCGCCAATTTTTCTGTTACGAGAAAAAAAAAAGACGTTGGTTGACGATGATAGTCCCCGTGCTTAAAATCTCGTCTATTTACGAAACTCACCTGCTAACAAAGGGTTGGCAGCCGCGATGTTGTACCTCTGCCGTCGACAGGAAGGGGTTACGGAAGTTGTAGTGGACGTGGGTTGACTGGCTTCAGCCAAATCAGCTTGCAGTTCTCGAAGGAATGTGTCTAGCGTGTCAAAGGGTTCCTCACCTGTGACACCAGCCATTCCTTCGCCCTCTTCCGCCGGCATGTTCGGAGCTGCCGGCGTCCCCACAAGAGCACTCAATTCCATCGGGGAAAATTCTACCGATTGCCCTGTGCTGCTTTCCTGGTGAATCGATAAAGTCTAGTTATCACTTGTTTTCGCGCGAAATCGATCCTTTCGCTCGGATGAAAATCATCATGGCGGACGAACCTGGAGACATTGCGTTAAGTCGACCATTTTGCCGTCATTGTCAGGGCACCAAAGTAACTCGTCGTCTATGAAGGGCATGTTTGACTCCTCCTTGGGCACGAGGGTGGAGGTCAGCGTGAGGGTTTGCGATACGGGGACCGGCATCGGGACCCGTACCCTGCGGCGGGGCCTCTTTAGCCACCCCCGCGCTTTCTAACATCCAAAACCACCTCTGAAACGTCCCCACTTTTCGTCTCCTTCTTTTTCTGCTCCACAGATTTCTCCCTTTCGATCTACGCGCTACTCCGATTCCCCTGCAACAAATAAATTACATTTGTCGTAGAACGAAACTCTCGGCGAAACGGAAATCATTAGTTACGTACAAAAATTACTTTCTCTCGTTACACGGAACGGGTATGTTCTTGCGAGCTGATTCAACGATCGTTTCGACAGTGGTCGCCGCGATCGTCGATCTTTAGCTCGACGTATTCGTCGATAGCGAGAAACGGCTCGATAGGTTTAATTATCGTGCGAACCGCGAAACGGTCCCGATCGATCATTCAGTTCGTCGATGCAAAGCAAACCGATTCCAATAATTAGAAGTTGATGCATGTAGAAGCATGTAACGGGACAGGTAACGCTGGCATTTCCATGAAAGTGAAAACATCGAGTGAAAACTTTCTTTCTGGCTTGTAGGTTGTTTCACTTCCTGTGCGCGTAACCTCACTCTCCTGCCGCCGCTGCATTTCTATGCAGCTTCTACACGCCGCTGTCTTTACGTAATCCTCAGCCGCGAAAGAAAGTTTCCATCGTTGCGAGGAGGTTAACATCCTCTAGCCTACCTATTCAAATATCGTTCGCTGCCCCATGTAATCGGGAGCAACGCGCTGCGTTGAAAACGAGGCGATCAAATATCTATATACCCGCATGGAAAGAGAACTCTCCAATGAAACCTTATTATTTCCTTTCTTTATATAATCAATGGAAATTTGTACGATGCAAAAACGTCGCTAGGAGCACTTGTTTTCTCTTAGACCCGAAACGTACACATGGATGGTATTGTTTTCAAAGCGGAAGTATAAACATCTATTTGACTCAAGGTGTGAAATTCAAATCGCCCGCCGAAACCAGTGTCGGACAGTCTTAACATGGCAGACGACGAGAGTAGCTCGACGTCCGACGAGAGTTTGGACGCGAAAAGTGAGAAATTTAATCCGATGAAAGCACTTTATTCAAAAAAGATTCAACTATCGGCCAGCAAAGCACCGATTTACGACAATGTTTCCAAGTTTGAAGCCGTAATGTCTGGCCTGGCTGGTCAAAAGAAAGTGCGTATTACGCTACGCGTGCCGGTCGCACGCTGTCGGCTGAGGTCCTTCGTTTTCGTTTTTTTTTTAATCATTTCAGAAGAAAGATGAAACGCCCGACGTAACGCGAGGAGAATGTTCGAGACAACGATTTTTACCTCATCAAGGTAAGGCGACCGTTGTTACATTCCGTGCATCGACGTATTTCGTTTATCGTTATTCGAAAGAGTGAGGTTATACCACTTGCTCGACCCAACCTTCGAATGCTTGACGAGAGATGGCGACCGTGTGAAACCCTCGCATCGCATCGTCGTCGGGAGGTCGCAGTTTCATTCATGATAACTCGCACGTGGTATCAAATTTCAATATGCTTACGGTTAGCTAACACGAACAGTGTACGTACGCGGAAGTGGAATGGGGAAGTCGCGTGAGAGCCCATGACGGTTCACGCGTCCTCCTTACACCCGAAGAAACGTACTCCAAGTCTCGTGCAATTTTTCGTTCAATTAGAGTATATTAACCTCTCTACTTTCAGAAACGTGCCGTCCGGACGATATATGCCAGTATACAATGAGTTGTACGCTATTTACACGTATACTACGTCTCTGCGGTATCTTTGGGAAAAATAAGTCTTACGCGTGTCGTTGGATCGATCGCTCGGAAGGGAAGTGATACGGTGCGCGGTTTCATCGAAAGACTCACTGTTGAGGTAGTTTGTTCCATATTTGCGAGATGCTCTCGAATGAATCATTCAGCCATGTTTCTTTTTTTTTTCTTAGTTCCCCATCTAGGTCGGTTGTTACTAATAGCGCGAACAAACGACGCCGACTGTGGACTCTATATCCCAAGATATTGGCACGCTTTATTTACGAACCGGCAAATACCACGAAGGTCGTCGGTATGCCTTCGCGAGGCGCGCGCGTAGTTGCGTGGAATTTGACCTCCGCGAAAGTGCGTCTCGTGGAAGCCCCCTCGGTCTTCATTGTTTCCTTCCTCGCGACTCGGTCCTTTTATCGCGTGCCTCCGCATCGCCGCATCATACCTAGTGTCACGAACCATTCGCCGAGACCTTCCCCCGGGTACGTATTGTGCAAACGCATCGTGGAATCCGCGGCAGAAGGTCCCGAAACGTTTCGCAATCGCGGAAGCCTTCCGGCGATGATCGACGCGTGTACAGGGTTATCGGATGAGCTATATTTTTCTTTTTTTCTTCTTTTTTTGTTTTGTTTTGTGTTCAAGCATCATGAAAGGGGCTGATTAGAAAATTATCAACAGCGCTATTATTATGACGGATTTTTAAAACAAATAGAGATCTCGGTTCCCCTGAACTATTATTACGCTATGCATCGCAAATTCTTATCGCTAAGGACTTAATAGAGAAGCGTTGGTTAGTAATTTTGAAATTTGAAATGGCACGCCGGATACTTGGAAATGGACAGCTCTGGTATTACATCAGACGAGTACCGAGTATGTATGTATGTCGAGTGGCGTTGTACGCCCGGTCGAAACTTGACCGAAGCCCGCGTCGCTTCTTAACCGTGATTCTGACACGGTGCCAAGCGAGGTCGGCTTAGATTTTCAGTGAAAGTGGCGCGGTTACCGAGGCGAGCACCGCGACGAAATTTCGGCACCGCTATCTTCTCATGGCCGCCAGGGAGACTCAGGGTGAAGCGAAAGAGACAGA